TATTTGTTGAATGAATGCATGTAGAGATTTTAACAATGAGGCCCTTAGAACTTCAACACTGGGGGAGCTTCTCCACTGAATGTTAATAAGCACCTGCAGCAAGTGATCATGTTTCCTGTAATTGTTTCTAATCAATGTTCTTGTCTGGACTTGTCCTTACTGTAATATTAAAACCTGTAGTCCAAAAGAAAACTTGAAATATATCATTCGGTTGTTAAGCCTGATTTTTTAATTTATAAAAATAAACAGAAACATGTGAGATAAATAAATATAAATAAAGCATGTGGGGGCCACACTCATCTACTAAATGCTGGGCATGTTGATGCCTGATTAGAAGTATTGAATTAAAGGAGATGGTAGGAACAAATGGATCCCAGGTAGAAACTATAGTTTATTAGCAGGAAGATGAGAGCTTAATTGAGAGTTATTCAATTCTTAGAATTAGGCTTAAGCCATAAGGCTGACATAATACATTAGCATAACAAAAATAGCTTTGTCCAATAGCTAATAAAACAATTACAGTAAAAAATAATAATTTTATTATTTACATGATAAACTATTTTCATATTAGCTAGAACTCCCTGCACACTACTAACTGTGCCAGGAGCTCTCCAAAATTAAATCTAAGAAAAGTAGTATAGATTGAGACTACACAGGAAGCATTGAGCAGTTTTTCAAAATGTGTATTCATAATTTTTTTCCCTAGCATATAGGCAGAAAACTACACTTATAAAGCAAATCTCACCTTTTGGAAAATGTGCTAAAATATTTGAAAAACACAGTGTTTTGAGAACACATTTCCAAATTGATGTATGCTTCATTCATATGTGGCTGAGACAAAATATGTGTGATGTCACAATTCAGTCCATTTTAAATAAGCAAATTAAAACCACTAATGGTATTTAGACAGCAGTGATAAATTACATTTGATGATATATCCAATACCTTTAAAACTCAAAGAAAATATAAATAATTGAAAGTTCAAAACTACTAAAAACACTTATTAAATATAAGAGCAAAACATTCACGAATGAAAAGGAGAACCCTTTTAAAATGTTAGTACTTTTGCCTAAAAGAGCAACTTAGAAACCCTATGACTGTTCCACGTTCAGGCACTAATTGAAAAGAACATGTGCACTTAGTCAATTAGCCACATTTAAAAAGGCAATCTTCTTAGAACATCAAAAGAAAGTTGAGAAAACAAAGCTACCCACAAATATGTCAAGTTAATAAAAGTACCTGTATTTTCTCAGTGTCAGAATATAAAATCTTCACTGAGGATTGTGGATATTCATTCTCAGTTATTTTAACCAAAATGTTATTTGCAGTAGTTCAAACTATGTTTACAAACAGCTTATATGCTATGTTGAAGCATCTATTTATTTAGTTGATACAATCAGAAGAATCTTCCCCACCTCTTAATGTAATCTTATCATCGGCAACATTGCTAACTTGACTACATCTATTCATCTTCTACCCTGTTTTAATAACACAAGTGACACCTAAGAAATTATTCTTTGATCTTTCAATAAACTAAGCCTGTGCAGACAGAGGAAGGTGAAAGAGGTTAAATTGGCATTGATTATTTAAGACACATTCATCATTTATTTAACAATCTCCTTCATCGCAAGAACTACTGTGTTTACAGGCTTTGCCAAGGCACTCTGGATTTATTTTTCAATAATTTGTGCCATGTGCATTTCAAATTATAGCACATTGTACACTAACATTAGTTTTAAATCTCCTGATGAATCTGGTACAGGACAGAGTAGTTTATTGTACAAATCTTTGAACTTATTCACTGTAGTGAATTTTTAGAAATTTCTTTTAATAGTTTTCACTATAATTAAGGTCTAATGGGGATTCTATTTCCTATCTTAAGCAAAATGTGTAACAACAGCTATCTTCCCGAGGAAATTATATTAATGCATACTTGTAATCTCTTATAGTCTGACAATCTTATCACTAAAACATGATTTGTAATGATCCATAAAGAAAAATTTGTGGCTAGTGTTTGGCAGCTTTAGGAAGGGAGAAGGGAGTATAAGAATCATCAATAACATGCAAGATATTTACAAGATTTTTCATTATTTTTTCTGACAAATAGTTTTGCAAATTATAAAGAAGTATATTCTATGTGGGTATCTATATATATATATATATATATATATATAACTGTTTGACTGGCCAACAAGTAGCTATGATGTGCACTGACCACCAGGAGGCAGACGCTCAACACAGGAGCTAGCAAGCTGCGGTGACTTGTCAGCTGCAGTTCTTGGGTGACGCACCCAGAACCAGAGAGGAGGGAGCCCAATTCCGGGGTTCATCACCCAAGAACTGTCCCCTCGAAATCTGGGAACCCTTAGGGGATGTCAGAGAGCCAGTTTTGGCCCAATCCCCGTAGGCCAGACCGAGGGACCCCACCAGTGCATGAATCCATGCACTGGGCCTCTATTATATATATTTGTGAAAAATTATGTCAAACTACATTTCCTGAGAAAAAATGCAAACAAAATATTATAAATTAAAAGATTAATTATTCTTACTGCATATAAAATGTGAAAATTATTTATAAATATTGAAAAGTACAGAAGATATGTCCTAGTTGTGGAAAAATTACACTACTGATGAATCATATATTCCAAATAGTCACAAAAGAAACACTTTTAAAATGCTTTACTTATTTCTAATTTATTTAAAATTCTTCCTCCCCAGGGAGAATGCTCTGAAGTTCATTACAACAGTTACCTCTCATTACTGGCATTGAGATCTATATGAATATATTTGGTAATTAATTTTCTAATTCTGATGATTATATCCTAGAATATGTTATCAAGAATTGTTTACATGAAGTCTTTAAAAAAGATTATTAGTCTATGTTAACAACTACCAAAATAATAAGAGACACTTGTACAAGGGAATCCTTTAGGGACTCACTACCAAGAAATCATTATTCTTTAACATAACCCAATCCAGTCAAATACATTAAGTTCTCATTGTCAGATATGAAAAAAGATAGGAACAATGAGGATTTGACAATGAGGACTTAATAATAAGGATTAACTATGTTCGTGACTTTAATTTTATTTACATGGTTAGAGAACTAAATAGCTCTGATATAAAGAAATTTATGTGGAAACAACAAAATTATGAGGTAAAGATGGGCAAATACATAAGCTGCTGCTAGTAGCTTCAGCTTAGTTAGCACTCCACCTCCCCTCTCCCCCATGCAATTCATTTTTTAGCAGCTCTTTCTCACAAGCAGTCCTAAGTGTTACAGATCTCTTACATCCTATATTTTTATTCAGGCATTTAGACACTTAGAAATCAATCTCCCAAATATAATTTCCTTATATTGGGTAAAATGGACTATTTGTCCAAATTCAAAGGTATTCCACTTTTTTTAAGAACACATTACTTTTCATAAAAGACTAGATTTTACCACTACCATGCGTTAGTGAACAAGTGACTTCACTTTTCGAAACTCAGTTAACTTATTTGAAAATTCAGGGCTTTGAAACAGGGTTATAAGTTAACTTGTTCCTGTGTTGTGTGCTTTTGTTACATTGGGATAAGATCTTATGGGAACTCTGGATTCATTACTTATTGGATAACTCTCTGGCTTGAAGATTTAAAAATATATAGGCTATTATTTGTAAAAATACATAACTGGGTTTACATCCTAGGCACAGATATGCAAATACTGTGTATTTAAAACTTTTTATGAGGAAAAAAAAACTCCTCCAAAAAGATTAATATTGAAATATGTATGGAAATTCCTCTTTAAACTTAATAAAAATAATTTTTCTTAAAATATGAAGCATTAACATCGTTGAAATTATACATAACACTGGTATTCAAGAAGTATTATAGTCACAATACTGAAATCTAGAAGATTTAGGTTTCTCAAAAACATATTAAAATAAATGTAAGGAAAGTTAAAAATAAAAGCATAGCTTCTAGTGTTTTTATTTTAAATTAAAAAATACTGCATGAAACTATTGAAGACCAAGTTTCACTGGATTTAAAAACTTTGGTTTATTTCCTAATAGAGACAAATAGCTTTATATTAAGTGTGTTAATATACTTTGCAAAGCAACACAAAAGTAATATCCATATTTATGTTGTTTAATATAATGAGGACATGCAAATAAACATACATTGTATCATTACATACCTTCATAAAACAACTTAAAATTATCTTATTCTATTTATACTTGTCATAAAGTGCTAATAATTCTGTAATAAATGTTTTTAACTAGAAGAGAGAGTTCTCACAAATGTTACCTACAGATAAAAATAAATCCTCTATTTTTTCATCAAAATGAAGTTTAAAGTCATAAACTTAGGCAAAATGAAAATTTCATAGCTGCACGTAAGGAAAAAATAGGTATTTGAATCAAAGTTATCCAAAATCATCCAGTGTTACTTAAAGCAATCTTCTATTCAAACACATTTTACAATCTTATTTTGACAGTTCAACAAGTATTTCATATGAAGAAAAAATGCGAACTTTCAATTAGGTTACTTTCTGTAGCCTGCACTAAAGCCCAAGAGCTAAAATATTTTTTTATAAATTTTTCTGCTAAGTTGTGTTTCCTTTTATGTTCTAGATTATAAAAATGATGTGCTTAGCTTCGGTGACTGCAAACTTTATTACACTGTTAATACATAAATTAGTACTTCCTTAAAAATAAATTGTTCTAGTATCCTATTATGTATCAATCTACATGTCTGCAAATTAACTAATTCAAAGGACTGTCTTAGAGATGTTGGTTTAAAAATAATTATAAAATATTGGTATGCTAGTCAGTGCCTGTAATTATCTTTTTCAGTTCTAGAGGGTATTTGGGAATTATTTAAGAGTAAAAGATGAATAGTGCATCACTAAATTCTTTTAAATCAACGCATGGGCACAGTAGCAGCAGAGGCAAATAAGCTTGTGGAAGTCTGAATACCAATAAAGAAGATAAAAATGGTTTTATATAGCTACTTACATCATAGCCTAGAACTTCAGTCTGTGTGGATTTATCTACTCTTGAAGCAAACGCCTTCTGTAAATGCTTTACTTTATCCTGCAAAATAAAAACAAACAAAACACATCATTGGCGAGCCTCTAGTAATTATATATGAACTATGGGGTTATTCTAGTAATTCTAGGCTGTACAAATGCCTTAAGAAAAACAAAAGAAAGGGAGAAGAAATAATGCAGAGACAAAAGCGAGGGCATTGTAGAGTAGATACAAATCACACACCTGTCTGATATGATGCAGTAATATCAAGTGAGAAATATTTTCATGGATAAATTAGGTGGGTTTTTTTCATAAAAAGCTTATAAAAATTAAAAAGCTATGAACTCCATCCTCACTTTTGCCTGAATTTTATACTGCGGGAGAAAAATTAATGAAATGATTTAGCCAATAAAGTTAATTAGGGGGGAAAATGAATGGAGAAGTGTCTTCTATGGTAATACGGCCCAAGGGAGTTTTTTGACACGTCAAGTCCCAGACATTCCCCATTAACAACATCCTGATCTAAAAAACACACTTTCTATTAGTCGGGGGACCCTTCATTCCCCTGGCCCATATTTTCATGAGGGACTTCTGCTAGAAGTATACTTTTAGTTTCTTTCCCTACCTCTCACTCACTCCTCTTCTTCTATAAACTGGTAAGTGACCTCAGTGTAAACACACGCACACTCTGCTTGTTACTGCCATGTACATAGCCTGAAGTCTCAGCTTGCCCAGGCATAGGCATACAGACTTGCCCCGTGGGAGAGGATGCAATTTTCCCCTCTGTCAGCAACCCTAGTGGGTCACTTCAGTTCAGTAAAGAAGGTATTGGAGCCCTAACCGGTTTGGCTCAGTGGATAGAGCGTCAGCCTGCGGACTGAAAGGTCCCAGGTTCGATTCCGGTCAAGGGCATGTACCTTGGTTGCGTGCACATCCCCAGTAGGGCGTGTGCAGGAGGCAGCTGGTCGATGTTTCTCTCTCATCGATGTTTCTAACTCTCTATCCCTCTCCCTTCCTCTCTGTAAAAAATCAATAAAATATATTTTTTTTTTAAAAAAAAGAAGGTATTGGAAACTTTTATGGCTGCATTCTAATCCGGGTTCATAGTGTATTATATTATAATCAAATCTCTCCAAATTTTCTATTTTATAATTCATTCTGAATTTAGGAGGGGGGGAAAAAGGACTTGGTTATTGCCCCTTTTAAGCCCCCAAAATACACACACACTGAATCAATGTGAAAAAAATTGAGTTTAAGTATAGTTTTTGACCAATACAATATCCATTGAACCTTAAATGCAACCTTGAAAATAGTTCCGCTAAAAAAATCGGAATTACTAAAAACAGAAACCTGTCTACTATATGGAGATTGACACCTTGCAAGCATAGCAAAGATTCTCTGAGCTTTTATTGTTTGACATTTTTATTTAGGAAGGTCAGAGTGTTATACTCAGCCCACTTTATCATTGTGATTAAAAAGGATATTCCCTTTTTGAAGAAAAGTTTCGCCTTAGGGGATTGTGAGCATTTTCTCTTATTGTAGTGATTTAATTTTAATGTATATAAAAATTCTTACAATGATCTGTATGACAGTTTATCTAGGCAGTCATTCATAAGGGCAATATGCTGATGACAGCACTACGAAAACACACGTATAAGGGAGACGAGAGAAAGATCACTACAGACCTGCAAAGTCAGCACAGCATTACAGGTTGACAATCGGCTAGAAAACAACAATGTCATGAATCAAACTTCACGGGACAAATTCTCCACACAGATCAAACTTCACTGTCAAACTCGAGAAATTCTGAATGCCATAAAATGCATTACCCTTCAAATTTCCTTCAGCACACTCATAAGCAAAAGTAAAAAATAAAATAAAATGCCATATATCTCTCTGAAGAGCAGAACCTAATAAAACAGAGAAGCTGAAGGGATTATAGGTGACTAGAATTACTTAGTTGTTCTGGATGTCTGTTTATTGATCTTTCCAACAACTGTTAGGTAAAGACATTTAAAGCTGGATTTAATTGATTCCAACAAATATTTAATGTGGATCTATAATTTATTCATCCATCTGTCAGTAATTATAGCACATTTAATTATGTAAATTAAACTGATTTCACTTTTTCCTCTGTATAATTAGAAATACAATAACATTTTAGTTTGTTGAATGTGTTGTATTTTATATATTTTACATTTACAAATGAAACTATGTCTATAAAATGTTTGGCTAATCGCTCACTGTGAGCCGTTGTAGAGCCAGCTCCTAAGGAAGGCACGACTCAGTAGGCTGTGCAGCTGGCGGAGGTGCAGGCTCGCTCTGGAGAGTGGTCTGTGTAGAAGGCTAAACCAACGCTCCCCTTACATACGGAGTGGTGAACAGAATGTTGTTCTTGCTGTGTCACTACCTAGAGTTCATAGGGGAAACAGGCTTCCAATAAGGAAACCAATTGGTGTAAAATTACAAATTTTGGTGATATAAAAGGAAGCAATGAGCACCTAGGAAAGAGCATAACATGAAGGATGCCCTTTATACATGATGACACAGTGTGCCTAACTAAGGAAATGGCCCTTAATGTTAAACCTACAGGACAAGGGCACAGACAGGCTGTAGGCAGGGGAATGTCTGAAAGAGAGAGATTGAAGAAAGCTCAAGGATGGGTGTGGGGTAAGTTTTTTTTTTTTTAATAGGAACTGAAAAAAAGTAAAGTGTGACTAGAATTTAGTGAGCAAGAGGGATATTGGCATATGATTATTATAGGCTCTGCTAAGCACTGGTTTTATGTTAAGTTCACTGGAAACCATGAAAATGTTTTAAGTAGGCAGGCCTCGGGTTATGTCAAACTCGATGTATGTCATTGCATAGTTATGTTGCCATCTCCCATTTACTTATAAAAAAAAGTTCTGTCATTTCAACATATGTACATATGTGCTTTATGCTATTTTATTATTTATTTACCACAAGTAAAGGTCAGGGATTGTTATCTTTCTTTTACATTTTTGGTACTGTTTCACTTCATTACCGCTGTGTATGTGCTCCATGTGAGTGACGTAGGTGCTTATGTAGGTGGGTTCCCACTTACAGTGAAAATCACATTATGTCGCTGTAGGAACGGATCTCCGACGTAACCCGAGGACCTACTGTATCTTCCCATTATATTTAGCCAGAATCATTCTGACTGCTATATGGAGAAGAAAATAGAGGCAAGGAATACATAGGTATAGGGAACTTTAGAATACTCTAGAATAATGCAGTTCAGAAGAAATGCTTTAGGCAAAAGGAATAGAGTCCTGTATTCTTTTCAGACTCAAAATAACTAGATTTAAGGACTTGTAACTTATTATGCAGGTAGGTTAAAGAAAGGAAAAAGTCAAGAATAACTCCCCGCTCTCTGCTCTGAGCAAGGAAGGCTGGATGGTGGCAGCATCTCTAATATCGGGAACACTGCAGAAGTAGGTTTAATTGGAAACAGGGGTGGATGGGAGATGGAGAAACAAGATGAATTGAGAGGGAAGGCAAATGGAACATACTGAGCATATTAAAAAGTAAGATTGCTTTGAGATATTCAAGCAGATATGATTGTAAGAGTTGTTTTAAGAGACAATTAGGTTGCTAAAAGCTATAAATAGTGCTAGTAAGAGGGCCAAGGACACAAAGAATATCTAAATGAATGCATTCCTCTTTTAGATGATAGCAGCACCATGTTTTCTAACCAGCACTCCTCATTGTTCCCTTCACACAACCATACTTTCCTGGGAACTTCACCTTCCTCCACTTCAGCCACATGGCTGTGGCCAGAGCTGCTGGGAGTGTGATATGATCATGCTGTCACAGTGCATGGATTGCAGAGAGGGAGCATGGACCCTATTCCCATCTGGCTAGGGACCTGTTCTGGCAGTGTTGGTACAAGAAGAAAGAAAAGTTCATCTTTCTTGTGGTGCTTGGATCAAAAGTGGTTAAGTCTAAGAGCTACCGTGGGCCAAGTTTTTGGTGATACAAGAGAATGAAAGTTGGTCTCAGAGAGAGAGAGAGAGAGAGAGAGAGAGAGAGAGGTGGGGGGGATATCAAAGAACAGCAGGGATGAGTAGAGAAAATGAGGATTACTATCATCTTAATTGTTAATGATAGTTGTTCCTTGGCCCCGGCCACAGTCTTGTCTTTGGTTTCATGAGTCATTCAGGTAGTCTTTTAACAACTTCCTATTTTAGCTTATGGTAGACCAAATTATTTTCCTGACATTTATTATTAAGAGAGATGTAATCAAGAAAAAGAGAAAGCCAAAAAGCAAAAGTCAAGGAAAGAGAACTAATTCCAAAGAAATTAAATATTTCTAAAAAACAGTGACTAGTGGTAGGATCCTAAGTAGCAGTCTTCAAGTCTAGTTTTGTTTGCAGTTGCTTTTTAAATATGTACTTAAAATTTGCATTTAAATAAAATGGGAACTAAGAACTCAAAGCTAAGTTGTATTAATAAAATGCATACAACTATAGTCTGCATATATTTATAAGTATTACATGTTGGCAACTATGCTAACTTTATGTATTTTCAATCATAGTGCTTACATGTTATTTTGTACTTAGCTCTTTTTTCTATTATATAACAAGCTTTTCAATATCAAATAATATTAACAACTATTTTAAAACTAGACAATATTTTATAGATGCAATATTTCTAAATGTTCTCAGACAAAACATAATTATTATCAATATTGTTAATTCTAATAACCACTAATATTTCAAGTGATATACTTAAACCTATTTCCTGACATGTCAAATTTAGATAGTATCTAATAGTCTTTGTTATGAAAGATTACAGCATTAATATGCTTTATTACTGACATTTACATTGTTGGATACAATTAGATTGTTTTAAAATTATAGTATTTTTTCCATTTTCTACATTTTTATCATAAATATTGGAAATATATTTATGATTTTGATATGTGAATATTACTTAGGTTTAAAACAAGTTGTATAATTAGTCCAATAAAAAAGGAAATGTAATTCCAATAGATTTTTTCTGAGTAAAAAGAAAAATTCTTTAAGGTTCAAGGTCTAATG